ACAGTTATGTCACATCTCTGTGCTTATAACTATTTGACTCAGCTGTTCAACGCCAGCACCTGCTCCAATTAAGAGGAAAAGGCGGCCTTATTTTTCGCATGCTTCCTGTCTTGTTCTTTAGTGTCTGCATAGAGACCACAGTTGACGATATTTTCTTGCTTAAAGATGGAGGAGCAGAAAAATTTAAAAGCAGTGTTGTCATTGTTCTCACTCCTTGGAGGTCTGTTGCCTTAAAGGTAGCCAGCCTTCAAAGGAAGATTCTCTCTTAAAATAGACTCCACTAAATGAAGGGGGATTCAAACAGTATACTTGGTTTATTTGGTAGGAATAAATTCAATACTTATTTGTATCTAACTGTTGAGTGATTCAGTGGATAATTCTCATCAGCTGTCCAGTAAATTGGGGGGGTGGGGTGAATTTGCTTATCAGTTACACTTTTATCATAGTATTTTCATTTCTTTTGTGTCCCTTTGGGTATATCAATTTTACAGCCCTAAGCTTGGGCAATTTGGGGAGTACAGACAAATATTATTGTTGGACTTAACCCTATCCTATTCTGGAAATGCTGGCCATGCTGTGATATAGCTGTACCTTTAGGGGGCTAAGTTGTAGACAGGGAAACATGTAAACCTAATGTAGCCTTATTTGAATGACAGTGTGATCTAAGGATCCTTTTTCTTCCTTTCCAGTTAATAAAATTACTTTCTGACAGCTTTAGAACTGAAGGGTATCATTGAAATGACTGGTTAGCCTGCTGAAAATTATTCTTAAGGTGCTACTTTGAGCTCTGTCTTGACTGTACAAATGGTTTCTTAATCACATATTCTTCTAAAGTTCTTCCAGTAGTTTCTTTTTTGGAGGGGTGGGAGGGGATGATGGTATGTGAAATGCAAGGCACAGACTTCATAAAGAGACTGCATGCACTGGGTCTAATACCTGTTTTAGAATGGGTAGTTTTTTTTTTTTTTTTTTTTCAGGTAGAAAAGGAAATCCACCAGAAGTTTGAGCTTCCATCTCAGGTTTTATAGTTTACATCTCTTTCAGCAGTTCAACTTTTTACTTTAATATCTTGCTTGAAACTTAGTGGCTTCTGTTGTTTCAAATACTATCAGGTAACTGAGAGGTGCTTTATGGCTTAAACAGTAAGACGAAGGTGAAGTGACATCAGGACTGCTGCTCAAAACAGTGGGGTAGTAGATCTAAGTGGGAGCACGATAGATGTTGCTTATGCTGCATGCTATGTTAGAGATGTCTTGAGTTATCTTTTTTTAAGTGTTTTGGAGAATACATTGGTTTGTGTTTCATTCCAACATGTCATGGCCAGACTACCTGCTGATAGACTGATGAGGAGATGCCAAGCTACCTCTGTGCTGTATAGGTGTATGTCTATATAAAGGATTGCTCTGTCCTGTCAGTGAGTTAAGGAATAATTGTACAAATGACAAAAAAGTTTTCATGGAGAAAGAGGAATTTAATACTTGCATTGCTCATTGCTTGCGTTTGGAGGGAAGATCGGAGAAATGTTTGAGTGTACCGCAACCTGGCTTTGTTACATCTTCAAAGATCTTTAAACAGCTTTTTGCTTAGCTCCTTTAGAGATTAAGACAACTGGCTAACCAAGCTGTAATAGTGTGTATATGTATGCTTTAATTACGTACCGCCACTTAAAGGAGTGAAAATAGCTCCAGTGTTTTACAGCAATTGGATATTTAGGGCTGAACTTCCAAATCTGGATGCTGAAAGAAGCTTTGGCTTGCGTTAAATTCACGAATCCCTGTTTGAGAGCCAAAATGGAATTGCCAGTCTCACTAAAACCAAATCATTAGGTGCTTACTTCAGGACTTCGTGGATCAGTCAATAAGAAAAAGTCACAAGTTATTCAAAACACGAGGTAAACCAGATATTTGGTACTCACTGTTTAAGTTCTATTACTTCCAAATTACTGACAGCCTTCATTATTGACATCTCCATATTTAGTTGCTAACTTCAGACTGATGACTGAAAAATTCAGCTTAAACTGTTCTTTTAAAGACAGTGAAATTGCAGCAGTTCACCCAGATTACTGTACTGGGATTTCCCCTACACCCACTATGTTTATGTCATTCTAGTCACATTTTTCCAAAAATAAAGGCATAACTGAATGTTTGTTTTAAAGAAAAGACAGGTAATATAGTTATAGGCTTAACTTTTTCATGAGTTTGAAAGGTGCATTTCGGTACAGTTGGAGACAAATCTTCATTCCTATTCTTTGTAGAAAGGCTGGACAATTTAGAGGTTTTTGGATATAACTGAACATTTACAGCGGTGCCAAATCACTTAAACTTGCTGTGTCAGTGGTTCTGGTGGTCCATGTTTGTAAAAAATCCATGTACGGAAGAAAACGCAGTGTTTAAAGTCAGGCGTGAAAAGATGTTCTATTAGGTGGGTAAATCACTGAAGAGTCTCAGAATTTATTGGTAGCAGAAGCCTGTGGAGAGACCTGCTTTGCTGGACATCAGGTCAATTATTTCCTTTTACTTGCTTAAGGTGCAGGGAATGGTTTAGATAAATTGAGAGATTGCTCATTATGTATTTGTAAGAAGAAAATTAAATAGGACCTGACCTCTTGACTTCTCAGTCCTCTGACAATGTGAAGTTAATCAGTGATGGAAAAGATGGAGACTAACATGGAGGTGCTCTGATTTCTGTGTAAATCATCTTAGCGTTTTGTGGTAAACATTTTAACAGATGGTGTGACTCCAGAGATACTGTGAGATTACTGCTGATGAGAAGGGTCTGTCTTACCTTACTTCTGCTGCTTACCTTGTACAAGCACCTGTGTTGGATTCCCTGCACTTCCCCTCTCCCCCAGCCCCCAAATTATTTATCAGTTGTGGAAGGTTTCATCTTTCTGCAGGAGCAGAGAGAGGAGAAAATGGGTAACTCAATCTGGTAGAGATTGGCTAGAGCCCCTGCAGGAAAGGAGCTGCGACCATCTTCCCAGGGCAGCAGTAACAGTCCTGTTAACTCAGTTATGAGCGGCACTGTAAGAGGAATGTTTTCTTGAGTAGTATGACCCAAAGACATGTCCCAAAATCTGTGGCCGTGTTTTGGTTTTGCTGGGTCGATTTTCAACAAAGATGAGCAAGCAGACCTGGCAGACTGCTGTAGGCGGCCATGCTAGCTAGTGTGGAGCAGGGACAGATCTAGTTTGTAGGGATGGAATGCCCTCAAAAGGATATTTTTAGTTGCCTCCAGTTATTCATGAAACAGCCATTATAACTGCAGTTAGATAACTAAGAAAACGTTCATCAACTTTCAGATTTAAGAAGGCTTTTTTTTTTTGAAAACTGACTTCTGGGATCCTGCTGTTCTCTTTGAAAAAATGTTTGCTTGCTGGGAAAAGGTTGGTTTAATTTACTCATACAAGTCTCTGATTCTTTGTTTAGCATTTATGAGAAAATGCATGCTATCTCTTATTGTATAATTGTTTCTTATTAATAATAACTGTTAGTTTTACTGTAGCAGGGTTTATTCAGCATTTCTTTATGGGATAGCAGTAATGAGGTATAGGAGATCCTGTATCTGATGGTTTGCTGCATTTTATTGTATCTGCATTAAGACTTGATAGTTTGAAAATGGCCACTGTATTAAAAATTAACTAAACGCTTTTATGAAATCCTGCATAGTGAACTGGATTATGGTGTCATGGTTGTACTTTCTGTGTATAGAACAAACTTCTGGTCAGTAGACGCAAACTTTGGATGTTATTTCAAGTAAATGGCAATACAAATAAAGAGATGCTGTTACCTAGAAAAGTTTCCCATTTTGTTTGTTTGTTTGGGTTTTTTTATGTCAGCATGCTGATGCTTTCAGTTCTTCAGAGGAGACTGGAGATGCTTCATGCATGTCAGCTTGTATGAACAAAACTACACGTGAATGTGCATGTATATGAAATTAGAAAACCTTGTGTGGTATGAAATAAGTTTGGGGAGTGGATGAGGAAAGGATGTAGTAGCTGTGAAATTTGAGACATGTTTTCAGAATTACTGTATTATTCCCATAAATAACAAACATTAGCAGCTGCTTACCAGATAAACCTTCTCAATACTGTGAATTCAGGGGTTGTAAAACTTAACAAGGTCTTTAGGCATCTGTATGGCTCTTGGGAATGTTGGTTTTGGTCTGTTGCAAGAGATAGTGCAAGCACCTTCATGTGAGCGAATGAAAGATCATGAGAAACTTATGAAATACCTTTAATGCTTGCTGCACTGTAGCTGAGAGGTGCTGTGAACTTGCTTGCATGACTGGAAGAGATTTTGTAGTTTTTCTGGAAAAGGTTATGAGATGAACACACCTCACTGAGTGGTGTGCTGTAATCTGTGTAACTGGCCTATTAATCAGAGTAAATTGATTTCTATGCCCAATTCCTCCTTACTCCAAATAAAGGAGATTAATCAATCCAGAGGTTTCTGAGGGAGTGATATGTGCACATGGGTATGAGCAGTTCTTTCTGATACTTGCACACTTTCTTTGAAACACCTGTGTTATTTTGGCAAGATAGTGACACTGAATTCTTTATTACAGAGAGTTGTAGTCTGGTTTTGCCTTTTCTTTAAATTGCTCTTTTGCGGGATATAAAGATCTCCATTAAAAAAACTCTCCAAGTCTGTATTAACTATGAAATTAGGCTAGATACCACATGAATAATGGTTCTTCTTTAAGTGTTAAAATCTTGGTGGCAAGAAAACCTTGGAGCTGCTTTCTTTGTGCTAGGTGAAAAACTAGCATCATTCAGCAGTTACTGTGTCTTGAATAACCGTCCATAGTTTCCATATTGTGTAATAATTAAAGTGATAGCCTGCTTAGGTTACACCTGGTGATAATGGTGTATGTCCTGCATTTGTCAGTTGATATCAGTATTTAATTGTTTATGTCTTGTTATATATGCAATCTTACAGTGGCAGCAGTAATGCTAAAATAGTTGTTCTATTGATCAAAATGGTATTTTATTGTGTGTTCTAGGTGTTGGGGGTGATTTATCTCTTGCATCATGCGTGAATACAAGCTAGTGGTTCTTGGTTCTGGAGGTGTTGGAAAGTCTGCTCTGGTAAGTACTTTGTGAGGCAATTCAAATATGTTTCCTTAGGCTTCTTGTGTATCTTTCCTCTAATACACTCTCTACTAACCCCTATGTCTTTTATGTCAGTGTGCACAAATAAGAGCAAGTGTAAGTAATGACTGGCTATAACAGGTACATCCTCTCCTGGGTGTACCTACGTCCATCGGTGTGCTTTTCCATGCTAATATTTTTGTATGGGGCTGGTTGATGGTGCTCAGTCAGATCTCTGTCTGACTTACACAGTGAAGTGCATAGGCACAGTATGCACGTGAAGGTGTCTGGCTTCGCTGAAGCCATAGTTCTATGGGAGATCAAGCTGCTTCATGAAACCCACACAATGAACTGGTTTGCCTGTGTCTGGCCTTGGTAATTCCTGTCTCTAGAAAGGTGTTCAGGATGCTGTTGGCTTAATGTTTGATAGCTGTCTCTAAAGCACTAATGTTTGCTTTATGCAAATACAAATATATGTTTGCATGTTTGTAGGAAGTTTAACATGTTTTCTACATCTTTCCCTGCAAGTAGGTATATAGCTGTGGCAGGTAGATATTGTAAAGCAAAGAATTCATTCATTTTAGTTAAATGATTACAGAAAAGTTTAGTCTGACCTAGACTAGCACTGAAAAAGTTCACAGAATATGATGTTCTCAACCTAAGAACTTCACATCTTATAGTTCAATTGTGCACCTTGTCATAAAGTAAGGTCTAGAGGCCTACTCTGTCAGGTAAGAACTATTATCTTGAAGTGGTTCCTAAAGGAAAACTTAAATGAGAAATCATGTTAGATTGTGAAAGAACTTTTTCCTTCACCTCTTGAATTCTTTATTTTACTGCAGCATTTCTGGATTTGAACCTGTCTGCTCTGACTTGGCTATCGAGTCTTAAAGTTCCATTTGCCTTGTGCTAAAAACTTCTATGTGCTAGGTACACAGGAATATCTTACTGAGTCTAGTTAAGACTAGTAAATGCTGGCAGTCATTTTTTGACTAATTCCTGTGCTGGCAGATAAGTAGCAGAAGAGACAGTAGTTCTAAATGCAAATGTAAAAGCGATGCAGCTGTATAGTATCCTATTCATCTAAAAACTAATAATGATTCCAAGAGTGAGACAAACCTTAAATTAATACATGCTTTAATTCTTGCTTTCCAAGTGGGAGTGGATAAAGGTGTAGCATTGCTTCATCTAACAGTACTTAAATAGGCCTATATATCTAACTTCCTGATGTTTCTTATAGTTATGTCAATCATTTAACTTGCCTTCAAAAAGCGTACACCTAGAACAGTAATTTGTGCAGTGTTCACAAAATGTGGCTATACAAGAAGAATCTTACAAGAACTTTTTTTGTTGCAGACTGTACAGTTTGTTCAAGGAATATTTGTTGAAAAATACGATCCTACGATAGAAGACTCCTACAGAAAGGTATATGGAAAAGACCTCTAGTATTACAGAAACTTAAAACTGCAGTGCATACTGTCAAATATTTGAGTCATTGTTTGGAAAAGGGTATGCCTGGTAATGCCACATAGTACCAGGTAACTTAACAAGTTTGAAATGTAAAGGTGCTTTTAAAGTCTGTCTAAAAGGAATAATTCAATAATTGTTTTTTAATGTTGAAACATAATACCTTACTAGTAAGTCAGTTAAAAATGGTAATTTAATTGTCAGAATTGGGAATATTGATTAAAGAAAACAAACAGGGAAAAAAAAAACCAAAACCCAAAACACACTACTGCTTTTTATTTTTTATAATATTATTCGTTTGTGTGTCTTAGTATCTGTGGGTAGATTTGGACTTGTATGCTTGAGATTCTACACTTCTTTGCTACTAGAAAATCTGCTAAAAACAACTTCATACTCGCCTTTAGAACACTGGAACCATACTGTATTCCTGACAGTTTAACTGATAGCTTGATATGCTTCCATTAGATGGATTGTTGTTTTATTAATAAGTTAACACAAACCTATAATGAATGAACAAACACAGTGGTCTGTTAGTTTATCTCTTCCCATTTTCAGCATAACAGGCTGAAAGGTCTGACTCTGCTTGTGTCATCTTGAATCTCCATATTGCTCACTCTTCAGTTTCAGCTGAGACCATGATTAATATTCTAGGCTAAGATAGTTTACATCTGGACTGCAAAAGAGTTAACCATTTGGTGAAGCAACCTAGTTTTTGGCTGTGTCTGTTTCTTATTCTTTCTTTTTTTTTACTGAATTACTTTTCAGATGCATTGATATTCTGATGTAGCTCACCATGTGGCCACAAAAATGCTAGTGTCTATACAGGGAAGGCAAGATGCACAAACCCTAGCTGGGAATGGACAGAAACTGCAGGACTTACTCTTTCAGCAATGAACTGTATTTATATTGGAATAAAGAGGCTGCATTAATAGCTGTTGCAGCCTGTAGTCACCAGAATTTCTTCTGAACAGAAGAGGAATTAGTGAGAGCAAAATGATAATTTCACACTTGTTTTCTTTGACCTCACAGAAACCAGTATGCTGGAAAAATCCTAGTCTGTTTTAAGCATGTGGGCTTCCAGCCAAAGCTGAACTCTTACTAAAGGAAACAACAGCAACAACAAATTCTGTATAGCCACTTACTTTTTCTGTATTAGACGAGCAGGAATTTTGGACCCTATCCCAATGTTTGGTGAAGGACTTTGCTGGTTCGGGCCCAATAAATGACCTCAAAAATATTCACAAGCTGAACTAAAGTGAAAAGTTTTCCTTTGTTATGTATTTACATTCTTCAGGTCATACTAGATTCATGATGTTTGCTGGGTGAATTTTTCCAAAGACTGTTTCCATGGAGCCTGAAAAAGTAAAGCCATCTTAAGAAATTTTGCCTTTTGCTAATTAATTTTTTTTTTTTTTTTTTAAGCAGAGATCTTATAATGTTCCTTTCAGGTTTGGTCCTGAAATGACTAGGAATCTCTCTGTGAATTCTTCTTTTCAAATCAGCCAGATTGTTGAAGTCTTTCTTAAGTCTGGACAATACTTTATGCAGTTGTTTTCTTCCCCTCACTGTTACAATTCTAACTTGCTTCTTGACTTGGGTGACTTTAAAATGCATTGGTTTGGCAGTTTCAGTTCGATACTATTAAGGTTAAATCTAATTTAGTAATATTTGAAGTTGAGAGGATATGGCTTGAAATATTTTAAGTTTGTCTGGAACTAAATAATTGAGCATGAAGTCTTGAAACTTGATGCCTTGGTTTACTCCCCAAATATTTCTTCATAAAGGGAATAAATGCTGCTTAATTAGCTGAATAACTTTGTCAGCAATATGTGCTAAAATAGTGGTTATTGAAGGAATCTAAATCCCTAGGGGACATGGGGGAGGTGAGAGGGGTGGAAATACTCCTCTTCCCCACCTCCTGATCTCAAATCTTCTAACAAAAGACAAGCTCAAAGTTAAAGTAGTGATAATGCATGTATCAGGAATAGGGGTGCAAAATTCTTTGAGTGCTGATCTGCTAACTAGAAATTTTACATGCAAGTGGAAACAAGTGAAGTGTACCAATAGCATAAAAGAAAAAAAAGTGGGTAGCCTGCTTGGAACTCTTGAAGGTTCTTCTGTGTCCTTCGCTGCCCTCACAGCCAATTTTTTTGAGGTAGAAACCAGATGGAGGAGTTCAGAAGTAGATACAGAAACTGATCCGACTTCTTAAACCTTCTATTTTTTCCAAATTTTTCTAAGCTGGATCAGTTTCCTAATAAATGTCACTAAAGGCTTGTTTTGGGGACATTCCTCTTAGTGGTTTGCTTGGTTTATTCCTTGCCGTGTACTACTTATTCTCTTGTTGATCTAAATTACTATTGAATGAGCATTAGTGTGCCCATCCAATTTTCTAGCTTTCACCTGTACTTTTCTTTCAATCTGTGCATGATCCCTGAAACAAGAAGAAATTAGTTGTGCTAGTTGCTGATACCCATCATTACAAATTTAGTAGCCTCCTCTTTAATAATCAAAAATCCCTAATCACTGTGCAAAGTGGTACTTGGCTTCTGATGTTGCTTTTGAAAATGTCACTAGGGCTCTTTGAAAGGCTTCTTCCCACTGTTTTCAAAGTGTACACCCATATAAACTTCTTAAGCCATTATGTTGCTTTATGCATTATAAATTTGCCTATAAAAATCACACAATTCCTGGTGCCTTTGGAGGGGGTAGAGTTGCAAGAGGGAAAATTCTAACCACATCCTTCTTTCTTGACAGCAAGTTGAAGTAGATGCACAACAGTGTATGCTTGAAATCTTAGATACTGCAGGAACGGTATGTAAAACCAACTTTACTTAACACTGATGTACAGCGTTAAAAGCAACAAAAGCTGTAGGGATGTAAATGGTGACACATTTCCTTCCTGATTTTGTAAAGATTAACTGTGGTCATTGCGTTGGATTAAAGGATGTTCTTTAACATACTAGTATTTAAACAAAACTTGAGTATCGCAGCACAAAATTGATGGCAAGTTTTCTGTGAGCTCATATTCTGTAATACGGGAAGCATGACACTGAGCATTTTAAAAGAGGTCGTGCTGCTGTTTTAAGTTTTCATATTGGCCAGAGAAAAACGTAGGCCCAATAGAAATCAAACCTGAGTGACTGTTGCTGTAGAGAATTACATGCTTCCTTCTCATGTCCTTTTTCTTTAATGTGTGAGATGTACTCTGACATTGAGATAAAAATAGTATCTCTTTAGTCAGCTTACGGGAAGTCAAAGCACAGGGTTTGTGCTGACCCTTTGCATACTGGTCAGATTTTTCTGACTAGTTTCAAAATTACTGAAACCCATAATTTCCTTCACTGATTCCAGTGACCATAAGCTCAAGACCCTTGGAGTGTAACATGTGTTCTCTGAACTGTAATAGTAATCTGGTCCAATAACTTGTTTAAACTGCATATTAGAGTAAGGACATGTAAAACTACAGAAGGATGGAGTGGCTGTTCTCTTAAAATAAATGGCACTTTTCATCTGACATACAGCAAGGGACTTGGTGAGTGAGTGATCAGGCACAAGATAACAGTCACCAGCGTGTGAAAGGCAAATGCTATTCCACAGTCATACTGCTGGTGAGAGTTTTCAAACAGGGAGAAGTCCTAATAGTGCTGTGCAGCGCCCTAGCGAGTCTTCATACACAATATTGTAGTTGTCACCAAAGTCTAGGAAATGTGACATCTATGGAATGTCTCCATCCTCTAGTCAATCTCCTTGTGAAAATTAAAGTAGAATTGAACATAGGAAAGTGCCTAGACTACAAAATGGAGGCTGAAAAAGGATGCATTTACTTTACGATGGGTTGTGAAGAACAATCAGGAGATACGAAAAGTTGTATGTAAGGAGAGATTTGGGAGAAATGTAATTTATGTAATCGATGGATTATACTTTACCTTCTACTGCACCTCTTCTCTTATGAAATTACTCTAGTTTCTGGGACTTTTTCACAGGGTATAGACAATATTTAGATGTTGGTCAGCCACACCAGATAATGTTCCAAACTTCAAATTTCTTTAAAAGCAGTTTAGTTTACTATAATGCTTATAGTCAAACAGTAAAATGTTGGTCAGTTTATCAAGGGGGGAAGGGGGCACAAATGCATCATATTTGTTGACCTGAAGTATATAGCAGTTTGTGCAAGGAAAGTGCAAATTGAATGCAACATCTGTATCTATTTTTTAATTACAGGAACAGTTTACAGCAATGAGAGACCTATACATGAAAAATGGACAAGGTTTTGCATTAGTATATTCCATCACAGCACAGTCCACATTTAATGATTTACAGGATCTAAGAGAACAGATTCTTCGAGTCAAAGACACTGATGATGTAAGCATCTTGTAACAATGCTTAATACTTAGATTTAGTTGTAATGTGTACACTGTGGTTGCTTCCACGCTTTAAGAGACAAATCGACCAATAGGTGCATAGTACAGAAATGCTATTCTTAAGGCAAACTGGAAAATTGTAACTTGTCGTGTGGTATACAAAAAATTGTCTTTTTAATCTCTTCCTTTAAAATACTCTATTTGAATCTGAGTATAACCTTATTCACTAGTACTGTAGAAAACAATCCTAAAGCAATTCTATTCTTACCTCAATTACTATGAATGAAAGTTTAAAAAACCCTACAGTTTAATTTTTCTCTTCAGTATGCCTACTGTTTATGGTGTTTTAAAAGCACAAACTTCTAAGTTCTTACAGAAGACAGTACTGTAGCTTTAAACTTGCATGTTATGTAGCTTTTATATTTTGTATGTGTGCTTACAAGTAAGCTTGGTCACACTATTTCCACACAATTTCAACGTGCATTATTAAAGCTATAAAGTGAGGCTAAAACATTCCAGTTTATAATTGATTAATAAAAACTTACTACAGTTGTAGGAAGTGATTATTCAGTCCCTTAATAAAAGGAAGAAAGGTATTTCAGATGTGAAATAGCAGTAAGAGTGTGTTTTTAACAGAAGCACCTTGAAAGTTGTAGCCATCAGGCAGAAAAAAAATTTTTTTAAGAAGGAAGCAATGAACAGTTTTTAAGTGTGATTATGTCATTTGAACTGCGCTCATGGAAACTTTTGGTGCCTTCCTTACTGCATGCATCCACATACGCTTCTGCTGTCAGCAGAAACAGAATGTATTAAACATTTTCATTTCAAGAAGGTTCATTGTGACTTTTGAAATACAATCCACCTTACACTTTATTAACCATAAGCATTTGTGGGTCTTGCCTATGTTCAGCAGTTTCCTACTAGAAGTGATTTGGTAGTATTTCCTTGGAATTGTATTTATTTTTAGAACACTCTTCTCAGTCTTGAAAACCATTCCATAATATCAGGAGAAAGATAATGAGCTTCAAGTTGCAACTTTAGTTCTCACCAAAATTTACATAAAGTTTTCCCTATGACAAAGCCTAGGCATGACTTGCTTTCTCAGTGAGGGGAAATTCAATGGTCAAAATATGGTGGTAAACCTTTTTTCAAACACTTGAATGTGGGAGAAACTTAGCTGTGTCCTTAAATTAGTAAAAGAAAAAAAAAAACAAACCCACAACCCAAACAAACTTTGTGTGATTGTCTTTTCTTGAGACAAAGGTCAATTTTCTGTAGTTAGTAATTTTGATAAGGTAGCATGTTTCTTCTCTCTGTGTGCATTAGCTTACTAATAAGAACTGTGTGAGAAAACCGCTCTTGAAAGGAGTACAGATACATTGGATGTGGAGGAATGGTGAAAGGAGCTTTAGTGTCCTTCATTATGCTACCCAGTGCAGGCCACTTTTTTCCAGGATTTCTGAACATGTAACAGTCTTGTGGCAGATTCTTTACAGTAGACTTCTTGATGCCTTAAACATCTAAAAATCTCATTAGGTCATCTAGAAGATGGAAAGTTTGCTCAATTGGCAGTGTACTGAATCCTCAAACCATTCCCACCCCTGCCCTGCCAAACAGCAGGCAAAAAATGCAGTCACTGTGACTTGAAGGTGAAAGTATTGCACAACTGTAAACTTAAGTTTCAGTTGTACCAGAGCTTGATTATTCTGGAAGTCAGGATCTTCTAAGGATTCAGATAGGGTTTTAGGTATGCATTTACATTGTGTCTTCCCAAAATGTTAATGATTTCATTTGCTGGTATTAAATTGTTTTGTAGGTGCCTATGATTCTGGTTGGCAATAAGTGTGACTTGGAAGATGAAAGAGTTGTGGGAAAGGAACAAGGTCAAAACCTAGCAAGGCAATGGAATAACTGTGCATTCTTAGAGTCTTCTGCAAAATCAAAGATAAATGTTAATGAGGTAAGGCACATTACCTGTGGGAGGACGGGTGGCAGGGAGAGAAGGATGGGACACTGTGTTCTGGTAACCAAATGTTTACCGTTTGTCAAGGAAGAATTAACAAAATTATGAATAACATTCACTATAATGAACAAAACTGTACCCTACTACTGTGACAATTTGTGAGACGTTTATATTAAGGGATGCATTTAGGTTTGACTTGGGACTTTTTCAAATTACATTAATTTTAGTATAATTAGTTTTCAAATTCTATTCATATGAATATTGACTTTCATATGAAATTTCAAATTATTTTCATATGTATTCTTTTTTCTTGTTACATTCCCTAGCTGATACAGTCTCTATCAACTGAGAATGTACTGCTAGACGTATATTTTTTTTAAAGACCATTAGAAGAGCTAAGTCCTTAAAGCCGTAAAGAAAACAGGACAAAAGCTTTCTGTACTATCTAGCTACTTATTTAGCAGGAGCTAGGAGACTGATCAAACACATGCACTTTTGGAACTTGCTGTAGTGCATGGCTGCTTATCCAGTGGGAGTGCCAGCATAAAGAAAGGGATGCAAAAATTTTTTTGAGAAAGAAGCTCTTAGTATTTACATTGCTGGAACAGCTTGAGTTTTATGATAAACCCTACAGTTCATTCTGTTTTCTGGAAAAGAGCGTTGGTAGCATCAGTCAAGTTGAAAGGGCCTCTGTGCAAGGCTTGCATGTAATCAAAAGTGTATGGTGGTTTTAAGCACAGCTGATTTCAAGAATAAGTAATGTGTGTTTAATTAGTTGGGAAATTCTGGAAACTATTCAGTTTTTCTTAAACACAGATTAATCAGCTCAACTATATTAAAAAGTCATATGTTTAATAAACTAGAACTTCCATCAAGTACTAAAAGCCCTTGTTGGAATGTTTTCTGCTTTGCAGCCTGTGCTTAGGAAACTGCTCGATTGGCTTTAGTATGAGGACTTCCTTGATTTAGGAGATGCAGAAACAATTGGAACAATGTCAATTATGAATGAAACAGATGCTGTTTATTGTAGCATGTAGCCTTGTCTTAAATTAGACTTTCAACAAAATCATGTTCTAATTAGAATTCTAGGAGGCTCAAGGTGTGAGTCTCATACATGAGTTACTTTTCTAGGAAACGTTATGCTTACATCATGCTATAGTCTGAAGAGGCTGCTGAATTAATTCTCTAGACCAGTATTTTTAAAGTATCTGGAAAAGCATAATCTCATTCAAATAGAAGAGGCTATTATTGAATATGCAGTGTACTTGAGTTACCATGAAAATGTGTATTTAAAACTTGCTAGAACTTCCTTTATAAGAATATCCTTAGTGATTTGAGTTAGAAGAAAGCTGTGGCCTGTTTCTTGACCTCAGTGCTAAATTGCAAAGTAATAGCTTATAGTAGTTGATCACTGTAGCATGTATTGTGTGCGTTCAGATAAATTTGACCCAGAGATTGAATAGCTGCAGACTATAGATGCCTTTCCAGTTTACTTCATTGAAAGTGGAAAACCCTTGGTAGACAATTATCTTGAACAGAAAAACACCCCATTCAGGTATTCAGTATACAATTTAACTTTATGGATTTGTGATAACTAAATATTTACAGGGGTTCTTGGTTATCTGAGTACGTGATGTGTGAAGATTCAAGGCATAGGGTTGTGAGAGAAGCCTTTTAATTCTAATAACCAACTGATTTTTGTGTTCTCAGATCTTTTATGACCTTGTGCGACAAATTAACAGAAAAACTCCAGTGCCTGGAAAAGCACGCAAAAAGTCATCATGTCAGCTACTTTAATACATAGCTGTACTGTAGCTCTGAGCCAGGTAAACCTTTTTAAATTCTCTGTGTTACAGTTATTAAAAACAAATAAAACAACCACCAGAAAACTTGACAACTGTGGTAGCTGTTGATGCAGAACAGCATGGGAAATTCTTGATTTACATTATCATAGAAATTTTTATGGTCTTTATTTTGCCATCCCAAAGTCAAAACTACAAATACATGCAAGGTATCAAATTTTTTTCAAACTTTAAGGTGTTGATAGGGCTCACATTAACAATGTTTGTTCTGCTACTTCAGAACTTTAGCTTTTGGAAACAGCGTTTTCTCTTTTAAAGGCTGATAGTATGTACTGCAAGAGCTCAATTATCAGGAATACATACTGTAAAATACTGTAGTTTGTGTGCTAAAATGTCACTTCCTGCTTTGAACTCCTGCATATATTTGCATGATGTCCTGGGAATTTAGCTTGCTTTCTTTGGACTCAGTGAATATTTTATAGGCTGCATTGTAATTCATACATTTGGAAGAGAATGGTGAAGTCGATAATTGTAACACTCCAAATATTTGACCTGGAGCTATTGGTTACTAGATCAATTTCTTACTTGTTGGCAGTTGGCTAATGTTCTACATGACTAAATCCATGCTTTAAGAATGCGGCTGAAGGCTCAAGCAAGCTCCAGCCTGCTCTTTAAGCAAGCCTTTTCAGAAGTTAGCCAGCAGGCATGAATTTTTTTCTGCAAGTTGTTCTTGGGCTGGTTGTTTCCCTCTTTCCACCTCCAAGCCTTAGTATGGGCAGAGGACTCTCTTGATTTGACCTGACATCATGTAAGTTGCCTGTTCATCTGATGCCCTTCAATTTTACTGGACAAATGGTGGTTTGGTTGCTTCAGTGCTATGATTCATTGTTTTGCCATCTGATAGACTGGAGGATCCTGGTAGTATGTGTCACTGTCATAAATTGCATGCTTTTATTAATACTCAAATTGTGCCATGTCTAACTCTTTTTGGTATCAGTGTTAAACTTTACATAATTTGAACAACTTGAATTAGTTCAAAGTAAAACTGAGAGGGTTCCAAAAGTATTAGCTAGGGATGGCGGAAATGGCTTTTCATTTCTTTAACTGGTCTTTTGATTCAGGAGCTTTGATCCTTCAGATGTGTTTTTGTTTTTAAAACCACTGGAACTACCATACTGTAAGCAAAACTAGTCCCACCCATCACATACTATTACCATAGTTGAGCTTGCATTACCAGGTGTATCCCAATCCAGTTTTACTAATTGAGATAGTCTGTTACTTGTATGTGTACAATAGAAATTGTATTAGTAGAGGAGAAGTGATAAGGTTATTTTCTAAGTCTGTTTGCTAACAACTTTGTTAGTTCCTGCTTTATTTCTTTTAACTAAAGAGCAATGACAGATAGTTGTTACTAATACTAACCTCATGTTTTGTTGTTACAGGTCTGAAGAACTGTTGCCCAATTCAACAGTGCCAGCATTCCAACTTTATTAAACCTACCAACATCTTAAATGGACTTTCCTGTGGTGGTACCCTTTAAGAAATGGATGAAAGCTACTACATCAGTTTGCACATTCTAATCACTTTCCAGTGTCATGAGAGATTTTTACTTATAAATATTCTAAGTGTATGCAACTGGTAAAACCAGAGCCTACATCCAGTATTACCGATAAGAGACGTTGTTCATCCACCAATGTTGTACATGTATGAAAACTGTGTACTGTATACTTCAACAATCCCCACTTTCTATTGGAGAGTACAATAATGTAAATCCTAAAAGCACCACTATTTTAGCATAATAAAAGAAAGTCCAAAGAGCTCCTATATAGACTACTCCAGATAACTTTGCTTCATCGGTATTTGTAGCTTATTGTAACTTTTTTAAAGAAATACAGGATCATCATCGTCATCGTATTGTACAAAAGCGCTTTGATTAACACAACAGCTATATAGTTTTTTAATTTTAGGAAAAACCTGTGGAGACAGTGATCTAGTCTTTAAGAGTCCTTTCAGTATAACGTCTGACTAAAGACATGGCCTTTAATATCTGTTGGGAAGGAAATGTCCAGACTTTTCAACCTTTTATTGTATGTTTCCTTTTCCTTGTTTACATAGGGAACAATGTTTATAGTTGTGTGTACAGTGGGGGTCTACAACAAGAAGTGTATATTTTAAAACGATTTTTTAATGATTTAACAATTTTTTGTAAATCATTTTTGGGCTTCTGCAGCTGTAGATTCTCACTGTGAATTCCCTTGCTTGCTCATGCATAAGTGTATTTGCAATACCAAATATACAGGTTTAGTACTTTTGCCTGTTAGTGATTGTTTTACATGTGTAACGTTTTGGTTGAGATGTTAAATGGTGGAAGAGTACTGTGGATGTGAATGTGGGAAGTAATTTTAATCATGTGTAATTGGTCACAGGGCCTAAGTTGCAGTAATTAACTTTTGCCGATTTATTTAACAATGCCTTGTTGCTTTGTATGCATTAACGTTTGGGTGTAAAGATTGTGTGTATATCCAACAGGGAGCCACAGTATTTAAATTGACCAACCTAATGTTACAACTGCTTTGAGGTGGCCAAATGTAAACTAAAAGCCTTAATTAAAGTGGTGCAATTTTGTATGACTTAGCATCAGTAGTTCAATAAATTTGGATTGCCATGCAAGGGCTTGCATTACAGTTATATACTACTTGAATGTTTTGTGTTTTAGTAGTGCTAGTAAATATTGATTTTAAATCTCTTGCACAGTGCAGATTCGTACATCTTAGGACAAAAAGGAACCATTATGACTTTGTCTTCTGACAAATACATGCCGTAGATATTTCTTCTAATAGCATCCCATGTGC